GGCTACAGATTCAGTATGTGTGCGGACCACTGCGGAGGCAAGTTCGCTTCCCCGACTTGGGATGCCACCCTGTAGGAGCCCTGATTTGACCAGATCACCAGAGGGCATAGGGTGAGGAGGGGGCGGTGGACAAAGAAGGCGATATAGAGGTGGAGCATCGACCGGTGTTCCTCACTAAGCACCTCAATATCATTGCTGTCCTCCGCCCCCCGCTTTAGGCCGCGTGGCAGGTTTCTCGCATCGGCCAGACCCCGCTCCCCTAGGGGCTGAGGTGTGTGAGCCCGACCCACGGCCTAAGGGTACATCCGTGACAATCCTCCTCCTCCCCCTCCTCCTTTTCCTTCTCCTGCTCCTCCTCCACCGCCTCCTTCTCCTTCTCCTTCTCCGCCCCCTTCTCCGCCTCCTTCTCCTCCTCCTCCTCCTCCTCCTCCTCTCCTCCTCTCCTCCTCTCCTCCTCTCTCGTCCTCCGCCTCCGCCTCTCTCCTCCTCCTCCTACTCTCCTCGTCGTCGTCCTCCTCCTCCTCCTCCTCCTCCTCCTCCTCCTCCTCCTCCTCCCCCTCCCCCTCCCCCTCCCCCATCTCCTCTCCTCCTCCTCCTCCTCTCTCCTCCTCCTCCTCCTCCTCCTCCCCGCCACGCCCCCTCCTTTTTTTCCATCCTGTGCCCTCCCGCCTGCCCCTTCTCCTCCGATTAGGTGATCGACTACATCATCGATGTACCCCAACATGGATATCCTTTCGTTACAAGCAATAGCGTTGCATCTTTCACTGTTCGACGAAGAAATCATTGTGGGGGATAAATAAATTTTGAAGTAGATCCCCTACTCGACTTTTCATCCTTCTCATTCCCTCTCCCCCCGAATCCTCATGCTTCTCTTTCCTTACCCTCCCTCACTTGTTGTCCTGATCCTCTTCGTCCTCGTCTTGTTCGACAGCCACGTTCTTGCGTAAGTCATGAGGAGGCTTCGTGCGAATCGTGCACATGGCAGCCGCAGAGGCACGGTCAGCATAGTTGTGAGCAAGTAGCCTCAGTCCGTTGGATCACCATGAGGAGGTCGACCCCACGTAACTGAAAATGGCAACTACCTCAGGGAAAGTTGGCGCGACACTGCCCGGAGACGGTGCAGAAGCCCCCTGTGGGGCCCGACGTCGGCACTGTGAGGACAAGTTGTCGCGCGAGCCGTGTGCACGGCGGGCGCTTGGCAGGGACAAGGCGAGAGCAAGTACGGCAGGTTCGTGCTGTGCTGACCCCAGCGTTGGTTTTTGACACCGCGGAGATCGTTCAACCTTGAACGATCGGCCGCTGCCGCAACGTCCGATCGTTCAACATCGATCGATTCTGGGTCGCCGGCGGCGTTCAACCTTGAACGCCCGCGCTGGGGTCGCCGCTGGTCGACACGACGCAAACCTACCGTATACACTCTGGCTGCCACCACGCATCTTAATTGGAGCTGTCAGCGAGGCGCTACCTAATGATAGCCTTCAGCTGCAATCGGCACCGAAACGATGGACCGAAACGAACCCGTGCAACAAGGTCCCTCCAGACCGCCGTCCACAAAAAACGCAACCAAGATGCGCACAATGCGTGGGCGCAGGCAGCGGCGTCCGCTCATCATGCGTGGACGCTCGAGCACCGACCGCATGCTGCCGCCTGCGCTCCGTTCCCGGTGCCAGCTCGAGTGGCAACTGACGCGGCCGACGAACTCGCACGAAGAGGCTGCTCGCCATGCCGTGACGCAGCTCAGGCGCAGCGCTGGCCATCGCTCGGACGTCCATTTCCTGTGCTTTCTTTCGCTTTCGTGCGTGGCTTTTTCGCGACGTGATCAAGGATGCTCCTCGATGGCCCTCGCCGAAGGCACAATGCACACGTCCGAGCGATGCCAAGCGCGGGCGGCGAGGCGCGGCGGCGGCGAGGCGTGGCGGCGGCGAGGCGCGGCGGCGGCGAGGCGGTGAGGCGGTGCCAAGGCGGCGGCCGCAGGGCGCGAGGGGGGGGGGCAGGGCGGGCCGGCTCCCGGCGGCGGAGGCCGGCTGCCCCACGCCGGGCACCTCGGCCACCGCCCACGCAGCCGAGGCCCGGTCGCCCGCGCGTCATCTCCGAAGAAGAAGAAGAATACTACTAAGGATAAGAATAAGAGTAATAATAACAAGAAGAAGAATAAGAAGAAGAAGAATAAGAAGAATAGTAAGCAGAAAGGGACGCCATGAGCACAAGCTTTTGGCGCGGAGCGCCAAAAGTTTGTGCTCATGGCGCGTTTTTTTTTTTTTTTTTCCTCCTTTTTTCACTTTTTCGGCTCCGGGGCGGCCGGAGGTCCAAGTCCAGGGTCGCCACCTGCAGCAAGTGCGCGCGTCAAGCAATCCTGTGCCTTGAGACATCTTCGGCCACGATGTTCGAGCCTCGTGTGCGCACGGGGGGCCGCGAGCTTCTGTGCACGGGGCGCACGTGCAGGCCAAAGGCCCGTCGTTCGTGCACACCTGGCAGCTGAAAAACCACGGGCCGTGCTGCACGCCCCGACAGAGACCCTGGCCCACCCGTGGCCTTCCCGCCGCCGTCCACTTCCATCTGCCACCGTGCCCGCTGGCACATGGGGCGTGCTAGAATGCCGGGTGCTTGAAAAAGCCCCCCCCCTTCCTCGGGACGCGCCCAGCCGCATGTACCAACCCCTCTGCCCGAGGCCACCGTCCCTCGCAAAATGCGACAGATTGGCGCGTCCGAGGCCCAGCTGCCTCCGAGACGGCCCAATATCGCTCCAGGCCAGGCCACTTTGGCGTCAAGACGGCCCAACATGGCTTCAAGACGGCCCACGAGGCCTTCGAGGCGTCCCAAGAGACCCCAAGAGCCTTCCCAAAGGGGCCTCGAAAAGCAAACCTCAATGTGTATGTGTATCTAGCAAATGTGTCATTGCTTTTCGGGTTCTCGCCTTTGAAAGCTTCCGACGTCCCAAGACGACCCACGAGACCACCAAGACTACCCCAAGACTGCCCAACAGGCCCCAAGAAGGGCCCAAGAGGGTGAACACCAACCGACAATTCGATCTTTCCGCCCCAAGAGGGCTCAGGAGGCCTCGAGAGGGCCAACAGAAGAGCCCAAGAGGGCCCCGAGAGGCGACAACCATTAACTTTCCATAGGTTTTTCAATTTTGCTTGGGTTCTCGTCCTTTCGAGCTTCCGACGCCCCAAGACGGCCCAAGAGGTCCCCAAGCCCTCCCCGAGAAGGCTCAAGAGGACCCCCAAAGAGCTACGAGACGGCCTCAGTGGGCTCCGAAACGGCCCAAGAGGCGCCCAAGACTGCACAAGAAGACCTCAAGAAGGACACAAGATTGGGAACACGAATCCAGAATTCGAGCCCCCTCCCCCAACAGACCGCCCAGCAGGTTCCCTGGGACAAGGCCCCGGCTCGACTCCACGCCCGTTTCGGCTTCGGGCCCGCTTCGGCTTCGGGCCGGTTTCGGCTTCGGCCCATTTCGGCCTCAACCCGTTTCGGCTGAGGCGCGTTGTGGCTCCGCTCGTTTCGGCTCCGCCCGTTTCGGCTTCGGCGCGTTCGGGCTTCGGCACGTTTGAGGCTGCGCCCATTTCGGCTTCAGCCAAGTTCGCCTTCGGTCAATTTCGGCTTCCTGGCACGGGTGCGAGCGCGAACCTGAAAGCCGAAACGGGCCGAAACCGAAACAGGCCACAACCGAAATATGTCAGGACGAAACGGGCCGGAACCGAAACGGGCCGGGATGAAACGGACCAAAGCCGAAACGGGCAAGGACGAAACGGGCCAAACGGGCTGGGACGAAACGGGACAGGACAAAACGCGCCGAACCCGAAACGAGCGGATGAAGCCGAAACTGGCCAGAGCCGAAACAGGATTCGGGGCCCGTTTCGGCCCCAGCCCCTCGGACAAAGACAAAACGGGCTCGTGAGCCTCAACGGGAGGCTCAGGCCCCTGTGGAGGAGGAGGTGCCCCTCACCATCACCCTCATCCTGGCTACCACCCACTGTAAACTTAGCCTACACGGCGTCTGCGAAAGAGGTACATGGGGGAGGAGGAGGAGGAGGAGGAGAAGGAGGAGGAGGAGGAGGAGGAGGAGGAGGAGGAGGAGGAGGAGGAGGAGGAGGAGGAGGAGGGAGGAGGGGGGAGGGGGAGGAGGACGAGGAGGAGGAGGAGGAGGAGGAGGAGGAGGAACACGAGCATGAGGAGAAGGGGAGGAGGAGGAGGAGGAGGAGGAGGAGGAGGAGGAGTAACAAGAGCATGAGGAGAAGGGGAGGAGAAGGAGGAGGAGGAGGAGGAGGAGGAGGAGGAGGAGGAGGAGGAACAAGAGCTTGAGGAGAAGGGGAGGACGAGGAGGAGGAGGAGGAGGAGAGAGGAGGAGGAGGAGCAGGAGGAGGTCGCGGTACGGGGAGGCCGACGCGTGCCGGCGGCGGCCTCCCCGGTGCACGGGGCGCCCGCGAGCCGCCCACGGGCGGGCGCCAGTGGAGCTCGGCCCCCCCCCAGCGCTCGAGGCCCCCCGCGAGGCGCCCACGAGCTGGGACCCCATCGCTCGAGGCCCCCACGAGGCCCCCACGAGGCGCCCGCGAGGCCGCCTGAGGGCGGGCCCCCCAGCGCTCGAGGCCCCCCGCGAGGCGCCCACGAGCTGGGGCCAGGCGGCGCCTGCGCACACGCACCCAGAGCGCGGTGCCCCCCCCACCCCCACGGGCAGGCACGCGGCAATCCGCGCGCAGGCGCGCAGACGCGCACGAGGCAGCCCACGAGGCACCGCCCCCCCCCAAGCCACCCAACAGGAGGCAGCCGCGGGCGCCCGGCACACCCCAACGAGGGGGAGGAGGAGGAGGAGGAGGAGGAGGAGGAGGAGGAGGAGGAGGAGGAGGAGGAGGAGGAGGAGGAGGAGGAGGAGGAGGAGGAGGGCGGCGGCGGCGAGGAGGGTCGCCGATTGCGACCTCCCCTGCTCGTCGACGAGGGGCGCCCAGCCCCCCGCAGCGGGCCAGCCGGGGAAGGCGCGAGGTCTGCTCTAGGCCCGATGCCCGCGGGGGCGGCAGCAATGGCGGCGCCTCGCCAGCGAGGGCGGCGGGGGACGGCCCTTCTCCTCCTACTCCTCCATTCATCCTCAAGCTCTCCTCCTCCTCTCCTCCTCCTCCTCCTCCTCCTCCTCCTCCTCCTCCTCCTCCTCCTCCTCCTCCTCCAACACAACGGGGCATCGCTCCTCCAACACTCGCGCCACAGCGGTGCCACTACGTAGCTCAAACAGTAGATGGCCGTAGGGCTAGTGCAAGCTAGAAGCAGAGCGGTGATGCAGCCCTGACCAGCTCTACCTACAGACCTGCTTGCGGGGAACCGTTTCTTGGATCCCCCGCGAGACCGACATGCGACTGACCCCGCGCAGAAGCCCTCCGGCCTTCTGAGTTTTCTTCGTCTTCGGGGAAGGCTTAGCAACCTTCTCACAAGGCTGGAGGACTTTCGAGCCTTCTGAGAAGGTCCGCCCCCTCTCACTTCCCCCCCCCTAGGCTGGCCGCGGAAGGGAGGTGCAGGCTTAACCAGCGGGAGTGGGGTGAGGCACGTCGTTCTGGCGGGCACAGTGGGCATGACTAACTGGCTGGGATGGTGCAGTGGCTGGTGGCTATCAGAGCTCTGAAGGGCAGAGGCCTATGGCGGGAGCGGTCCCCTTCTCGCTGGGACTGATGCGCACGTACGAGAGACGAATTCAAAAATAGCCTCAACCTCCTTCTCCTCTGCCTCTTAGCATGAGGTAAGCGGATCCCGAAGAAACGGGTCTGGGACGCTGTGGCTCTCCCCCAGGCCTATGGCCGATGAGACGAATGCGCACACACACACACACGAGAGACAAGCTCGAAGGTAGCCTCCTCCTAATCCTCCTCCTCCTCTTCCTCATCCGTTTCCTCCTCCTCCTCCTCCTCCTCCTCCTCTTCTTCCTCCTCTTATAAAGGACAAATCTGCATCAACATAAACTTTCGGGGGGGCCCTCCTTGCCGCGCAGAGCGAACCAGGGGCGACGCCGGAGGCCCTGTCTGGGGGGACCAGCGCAGATCCAAGAAAACCGCGCGCACCGTCGAAAGCTGAGGTTTATGACGTTTTGTTTTTCTTGGATCGCCGCACATAGCTCCGCAGGTGTGCCATGGTCCACTGTGCTGGTTCTGCGCGTAGCAGCTGTGGCCGTGCAGCTGTCGCCCGAGACCTCTAGTGCCAAAGGGGGTGCCTGCTCGCAGCGTCAGCCTTCTGGCCTGGCCTCTCCGCGCCGTCGCTGTCGGGCAGAGGCACGTGCAGCCCTGCATGCGAGAATCATTTCTCAAAAAGAGGAGGAGGAAGAGGAGGAGGAGGAACATTAAACAGGATTAAACATCTTACAAAGTCCTGCCTGTACTGTGTAGAAGGGACCTGGCGAGGTCCTGGAGAGCCTACCCGTGGTCGGGCGTTGGCCCTTCCACAGACGATTCAAGCGATCCTGCGCATTTTCCCTGTGGCACTTGCACTCGCTGTTGCTGACTCGGCCAACGGTTCTGAGCGTAGCAGGCACATACTCAGCAGAAAGTGTAGCCTGGCCGAGTTACTAGCTGGTGGCGGCTTCTTCGCACCAGCTCGGCTCCGAGAGCCTCGGCTGCGACCGCTCTCTCTGGAGGCCCTCCAGGCCTGGCCTTGGGGGGGGGCGTCCAACCTCCTCAAAGGCCCCGTCCGCTTCCCCGACCCCCCCACGACGCTCCACGACCCCAGTACGCGTCCCACTAATACTCGGGGCCTGCAACGGCCCGTCCTTTACCGCGTCTACGACATCAGACGACAGCGCCAAGACTTTAGCACTACATTGCAATATGCTCTGGGCTAGTAAGCTCGCACACGTACTGCCGGACGTGCCATTCGGGGTACACTAAAGAAGCTGCTCCTAGCTTGGCTCCCGTATCGGCTGCCCTGTTGCACTGGAAGTGATTCGTGCCTAGTGCACGACGCTCAGCTACTGTGGTATGGGCCGTCAATTTTCCTATATCGACCATCTGTGGGCCCAATCCGCCTAGCTTCTCGGGTATGTGCCAGGCCCATCTCCATTGGCTGGCACGCGGGTTCGAGCAGCGAGTGCACCATTCCTTCCCGCGGGCGAAGCCGTCTACGACACTTTTCCAGACTGGCCAAATTCTGAGCGGCACCACTCCTGCCTGCAAAGCCATGCACACTCCGTGCAACTGAGCACAGAAGATTGACTGGCCTGCTTGTGGCCGCGGCAGCGGCCCATGCATAGCGAAGATCGTTTCTCCGCTGTCCGTGACTTTCGCATAGCAACACCCCGCGCGCCTGATGGGCTCGCGCCTGCCGTGCAACTGCGAGCCATCAGCGTAGGCGCCGCCCGTGAGGATGTCTGGGGCTGCGCCTATCAGCGTGGCTCGGTCAGAGATCCCAATGCCTGTGAGCACTGTGCTGGGGTCCTGCACGATGCCTCGGCCCCAGCGGTACTCGCTGGCAACTGCGGGTGCGCTGGTGGCCCCGAGCTGCTGCACTTCTGGGTGACCTGCTTGCTGTCTCGCGCTCTGTCGCGCTGAGCAGCAGCAAAAACGATGCTTGTCCGACCCCATCGCCGCTGCGAGCGTCGCGCGCGTTGCTAGAGGCGGCATCCTTGGCGAAGAGGCGCTCCTGACTCCGCATTTCTCCAGCGAGAAGCGCGCGCGCGCCCTAGTGCGGCGCTCCGGTGTCCAAGTTTTTAAAACTGGTCTGGCCATGGGGGCCCGCGCTGGCTCGATGAAACTTCTGGCGGTGCCTGCCTCCACGCCCCAGCGTCGAGTCCACTCTCGCTGGAGCCGCTGTTCAAATTCTTGCGCAACCCGCACATGCAACCACCATGCGTCGTCCAGGCGCAAATTTGCACTGACCGCGCCTATGTCGGGCGAGAAAAGCGCCTGCGATTGCCAGCTTAGCCTGAGCGCCGTGGCCAAGAAAGCGCCCGCGGGGCCTCGGACCAGTGTCCATGGCCGTGGAGACTGCGACAGGCGAATGCCCCAGCGCTTCCAAGCGGCCGCGAGTCGGCCCGCTAGCGCTGGGTCGCGCACTGCTTCCTTCCAAGCGCCTGCCCACTCCACAATGGGGCCTGCGTTAGCGACGCGCGCGGGTGGCGCAGCTGAAGCACTGTTGACGCGGGCGCCCCCGCCACTCTCGTGCCGTAGAGGATGGAGGGCGCGGCTGCTGCGCGGCTGCTGCCGAAACAAGCTTGTTCGCTTGGCCTCCAGCTCTTTTCACTCTCACAAGTTGTTATTTTCCCACGGCTCTTCCACTTCAGGATTCTCTCGTGCACAGCGGGCACTCGTCGGCGACGTCGCGCGCAACGATGCCCGGGTGCTTGGCGTGGCCCGCGGTCCTGATCCCGATCCTCTTGGTCCTGGGCCCCATGTCTTCGGCCAACGCCGTGGACGAGGTAAGCAGAACTGTTGTGCCCTTCTCGCCCAAGGAGACTGGCATCTCGAGCTCATTCCCCAGGCGGTTGATGACGATACTGGCCATTCTCGCGCGCTCAGCTGCAACCCAGCGGCGTTCGCCCACGCGCGCGATCGACAGGTCGTCGAAGAACAGGCACAGCTCCGCGAGGCTGTTGTCCAGCTGGATTGCGTCGAGCTCTTTCATCATCGCCCACTTGAAGGCGACTGGCGCGAAGACGGAGCCCGCCGCGAAGCCCTGCCGTCCGCGCCTGCCCTCGGTGACCGCGCCCTCCAGCACCGCCCTCCTGGCCATCCCGAAGATGCGGGGGATCGCGCGCAGCGGGCGCGTGGAAAACCCCCAGCACTGGCCAGCCTCCCAGACCTTCCAATGGCGCACGTATTCGAAGCATCCGACAAGGCCCAGCAAGGCGATCGCGTAGCTCTCGTTGTCGACCGCGGCTGCCTCGCAGAAGAGCTCCTGCATCCAGGCGCCGCGCTCGCTGCTGCGCCCAGCTCGCGACCAGTCGCAGTCCCTCCTGTGGCACGCCTCCCACTTGGCAATGATGGGGCGCCTGCGCTTCTGCCATGGTCTGACCACCTCTGGCAGCAGGCCTAGGCATCTCATGCCCCCGCCCTCCGCCTTCGGTGCACTGTAGAACGAGATGTCAGGCTGGCTGGGCGGCCATGGCGCGCCGCCCTCGACCGCGTCGAGCATGTCGTCGGCGCGCTGGATGCCCTCGGCGCCTCTTGTGGCCCACAGGCGCGGGCGCCGCTGCCCCGCCGCGCCCAGGCCCGTCTGCCTCTCGAAGCCCATGCAGTGCTGGCGCACCTCGGCGGGGGCCAGCGGCGCCAGCTTCGGCCCGCGCGGCGGCGGGCGCTCCTGCCGGGGAGCATGCCCCCTGCGGTCCTGCGCCAGACCTCCTCCCAGCCCTCCAGGACCTCGCCCGCTGCGCGCTGGGGGCCGCCGCATCGCGGCGCCGCTGGCGACGAGGGCGGCGGCCCGACCGGCGCCCGTGGCGTCGACGGCCCGGTCCACTTGCGTAGCGGGCCAGCTCCGCCCACCGAGCGCGCCTGGACCCGCTGCCTCCACTCCCGCCGTGGCAGCGATTCAGACTGGACTCGTAGGCCTTTTCGGCCCCCCCCAGTGTGGGTCGATCCCCCGCTGCTCGGCGCCGCGCTCGAGGTCGGGGCCGTCGGGCGGGGGCTGCCGCGCGGCCCCGCGGCGTGTCCAGCGGCCAGCGCGCGATCTTGGCCAGTTGCGTCACCTGGTAAGTTGGGCCGCTCCTGCCCAGCCAGCGCGAGGCCTCGGCGGGAAGTGCGGGATGCATCTGGCGCTCACGGCCAGGTCCGTCTCCGCCGTCGCGTGCTCCGACTCCGCCAGCCTCCTCGACGCAATGAAGTAGTCGCGGGCGCTGGCCTCCCTCTTTTGGCACGTTGCACGTGCCCTCGCTCGGTCGGATGATGACTCTCTGTCGATCGCCCCGCCCTGGCACAGCTGCTCTGGGCCCATGTTGAGGTCGCCCCCGAGGACCCACTGCATGGCCGTGGCGTCCGCCAGCGCGCCGAATGCCGCCAGCGCCGCCAGGTTCCTGGGCGCGGGGCCCTCCGAGTGCCAGAAATGGCGCAAACCCGCGATGATG